TGTAGGTAAGAGGAAATATGATACCTTCTTTTCTTTTTTTTTTTAAAGATTTTATTTATTTGAGAGAGAGAGAATGAGAGATAGAGAGCACAAGAGGGAAGAGGGTCAGAGGGAGAAGCAGACTCCCCACTGAGCAGGGAGCCCGATGTGGAACTCGATCCCGGGACTCCAGGATCATGACCTGAGCCGAAGGCAGTCGTGAAATATGATACTTTCTAAAGAGAAAAATAAGCAGGTCTAGAATTTCTAGACCAAACTTATTCCTTGCAAAATTCAAAATTGAATTAAACAAAATGTGAAGTTAAAAAAGGAAAAAGCCAGAGGATTCACCATGAACAAGTCAAACCAAGTAAAATGCAATTTCTACTTTGATAGGTTTACTTCATTGCAGTTAAGACGCTGTAGGCACAGTATAACTTAATTACAGCAAGCAATTGGCAAAATCTTTCATAATATCCATACAAAATGGCATATGGGGACGCCTGGGTGGCTCAGTCTGCCTTGGGCTCGGGTCATGATCTCAGGGTCCTGGGATCGAGTCCCGCATGGAGCTCCCTGCTCAGCGTGGAGCATGCTTCTCCCTCTGCCTGCCGCTCCCCCTGCTTGTGTGCACATGTGCATTCACGCTGACAAATAAATCTTTTAAAAAAAATGGCATATGGGCTTGATAATAACAAATGGAACTAAGTTACTGAACAACCACAATGTGTGCTGATTAAGAGACTGATGTTAATCTGGAGGGATTCCAGTTGAGCTGCACATTTCAGAGCCCTTTACTCTGTCATTTTAACATTTTTAACAACTTGAAGACCCAGTAGGTATGCCTATTAAATGTGAAAATGACAAAAAATAATATTAAATGCCTAAATCAAGAATAAGAAATGAAATCAAGACTAATTTAAATATAAGCCAGATATATATATATATGTATATATATATATATGAATATAAATACAAAAGCCTAAAGAATTCATTGCACAAAAACAGGGTTAGGGAGGGGCGCCTGGGTGGCTCAGTTGGTTAAACCGCCGCCTTCAGCTCAGGTCATGATCCCAGGGTCCTGGGATCAAGCCCCACATCGGGCTCCCTGCTCAGGCAGGAAGCCTGCTTCTCCCTCTGCCTGCCGCTCCCCCTGCTCGTGCTCTCTCCCTCTCACTCTCTATCTCTGTGTGTCAAATAAATAAATAAAATATTTAAAAAAAAAACAAAACAGGGTTAGGGAGACTTAGTTTAACAATTAATGTATAAAAGATACTAAGTATAATTGACACTACTGGATCATAGTAAACATAAGCAACAGAAACCAAAACTGTTAATGAAGTATTTGGTTTCAAAATAACAGCATTTACCTCAAGTAAGGTGTATCCACCACACACTGTCTGGTCAAGTATCATCTAAAATGCTAAGTACAGGGGCACCTGGCTGGCTCAGTCAGTACAACATACAATTCTCGATCTGGGGTTTGTGAGTTCAAGCCCCATGACAGGTGTAGAGATTTAAAAAAAAAAAAATTAAAAAAACATAAAACGCTGAGTACAGTTCTGAGTACCATGTTTAATGACAATGCGCAACTAGAATTCATTGAGAAAAGTGATCATGGTTGAAGGATCAGAAAGTTATATTATCTAGGAATGATGAAATAAACTGGGACTGTTTTACTCTGCAGAAGAGATGAGAATGCTCAGTGTGTGTGGTGGGTAGAAGAGGTCAACAGGATCATGACAGCAATCTTCAAATATTTTAAGGGGCCATTCATATGGAAAAGGGATTATATCTGGAAAAAGCAAAATACAGGGGGAACAGCATAGGCTTTGATGTCATAAAGTCCTGGATTCAAACCCTGACTCCATCATTTACTGTGTGTTATTTGATGCTTAGAAAGATTGCTTCCTGGATGCCTAGGTGGCTCAGTCGTTAAGAATCTGCCTTCGGCTCGGGTCATGATTCCAGGGTCCTGGGATAGAGCCCCGCACTGGGCTCCCTGCTCAGCAGAAAGCCTGCTTCTCCCTCTCCCGTTCCCCCTGCTTGTGTTCCCTCCCTCCCTGTCTATCAAATAACTAAATAAAATCTTTTAAAAAAAGGTTGTTTGCTTACCTAAAAATGATACTTAATTCAAAAGTGGATGAAAATTAAATGCAAAAATGTTTATAAGCTATCCGGCATAGGCTAATACACTGTGATGTACAATGATGTTAACTGCTTTCTCTGACTCTTCTGAGTTGTTCTATAACAGTGCTTTCCAAACTGAGATAAAATCCGTTAACGGGTCACAAAATCAGCTTAATGGGTTGTAACTAGCATTTTTTCCCTAAAGAAACAGAAAATATTAGAGCTTACCACATGTACTAAAAGTAACTATAGTTTTGTGATACATTTGTTTCAATTATTCATATACTTGTGTAATAGGCTATGATGTAAAATGTATTTATCATGAAGGAGGGTCCAAAAAAAGCCACCAAAAAGGCTGTGAAAGCCACTGCTCTGAAGCACTGTTTTCTAAGTGTGTTCTATAGGTAGTAGTTCCTTGGGAGCTCAAAAAAAGTTTACCACTTAGAAATTTACTATATTCAATAACAATTAGCATATTAAACAAGTCCAGGATTAAAGAAACCTGTTTATTTTTGTTAAACTTTATTTTTCCCACATATATTTAACCTCAGACCCACCATTATTTTTTCACACAGTATCTATTAACATCTTCAGAACTAGCATTTTATAGTGTACACTTGAGGAAAAACATTACTCTAGATGAAAAAGAAGGTACAATGGGTGTTAAGTTACAGAAAGTAAATTTTTGGTGTGCTAAGAAAAATTCTTAATTCTTTGAAATCATCCCCCCCACCCCGCACTAACACCCACCCCTTCCCACTTGTACTCCAAAAGCATACTCTAAAGCACTTTAAATGATTTATAAAACTTTCAATTCACACAAATCTTTTCAGAAAAAGGAAAGGATCAAGATATGTAGCCAGGATCAAAGCAATAAGCAGGAACCATCTGGTCAAAAGAAAACTCCGGCATAGTATTTAAGACTTGCTTTACCTGAACAAACTCTGCTCAGAAGCCAAAGCAGCAAAATACGTATTCAGCTTCCCCAAGTGGAGTCAATGTGTTCTAATAATACATAATCTAAAATGGGCTCGTGAGTGCAGCTAATCCTCATTATTAAGAGCATCATTATCATCACTTGGAAGAGACATGTGATGATATTTAAATGATTCTGGATTCTTTTAAAGTGTACACACACCCAGGATTCCTCTGGGAGGACGTGATCGCACACTAATATGAAAAACTGTCACTACCATAGACAGTTCTAATAATATTTCGTATTACTTGGAAATAAAATAACAGCTTGATATCATATATTCGAGTATCTCTGTAATTCAAACCTTCCTAATTGGGAGTTACAAATATCTGACTCTGCTCTAGCAGTTGTCAGAGCATAAAAGTCCCTTCCCACTCTCCCCACCCCCAGGCTCCAAAGCCACCTCTCCTCAAAGTTCGCCTCAGCTACTTGGAACCATTATTTTCTTCCCAATTTCTGAGCATTCTCAGTACTTTTGTTCCTCTCACTTTTTTTTTTTTTTTTGCAATTCACTGTATATCTCCTAGCTTATTTAACTGCATAAAACTTGGCTCCCAAGACTGTTAACTGCCTTAATGAACAGGGATCAACATGTTAATGAATCTTTAGACTTTCCCACAAGATCCTATAAGAGCTTACTATTTCACGATTTAAATAACTAGGCTTAAGAGTAACTGCAGTTAGTTTCGGAGAGTTTACTCTGTGTCAGACCCAGTGCTAAAACGATACATGGATTACCTCATGTAATCTTCACAACTCCATAGAGATAAGAACTATTATTTTCTCCATCACATAGAGGAAGAAAGTGAAGCTCAGAGTAACTTGTCCAAGGTCATACAGCTAGTGTGGCAGAGCCAGGGCCTGAATCCAGGCAAAGCTCAACTATCTCAGTAACCGTAAAGTTGGACCTCTGCAGTATTAGAAGAATTTCCACTTCACTGGCTTAAAAGTTTCAATTTCAACAAAGAGTTAACACATTTTAGCTACAAATCAAAACTTTAAAAAGGGATAAATTAAGACAGTTTCTCACAGACATCTTTATGGGGTTGCAATAAAATGAGGGAGAATGCCTCCCATGACCTATTTATGTAAGTGATATTATGGTATAGGTCACAATTCTATCATGAAGTAGCTTATGACAATACAGCTTTGGTTTATATTTTTAAAATAGGGCTCCTTTTCTCTGCCCCTAGGATGACATGGAAATTAAGGATGGATGTGATAACTGTCACTTCACAGCACCGAAAAATGACAGCCCCAATTCTTGTTTAAAAAACAAGAGCCAGGCTCTTGTTCCACCCTTGACTTTCCACACAAAGCAATACCATCCTCTGCCCTCTTCACACAAAGCAAGCTTTACCCCACTACCCAAAGGGGAGTGCTGATTCACACGGTCTCCCCATGGCGGCCAGAAATGTACCCATCTCCCACCGGTCCAAACCACTGACCACCGCACTAGACCACTCTGGTCTGCTCCCCGCACCCGGTGATACCTCATCATGCAAACCCCTTCCCGACATCCAAAATGCTCAGACCACCCTCCGAAAGCCAGCATTTCACACAAAGCAAGATCCTTTCCTTACAATGCAGTTTCCCACCGCCGACTCCTCCCCCGGCGAGGAGCCCTTCCTTCCCAGGCTGTGCCAAACCACAGACCCCAATAGGGTCTAAAACCCAGAGGGTCCACCAGAACCCAGGGGAAAATAAAACTAGCTACAACGCCGTTCGTTCCTCCAGCACGCCTTGAATCCCCAACTCCAGTTGACCTTTCCGCAGCCAAAGCAAAAAACCCACCAGTCCCCGTCAAGAGAGCGGATCTGGCTACACAAAGCGAGGTGTCTTACCAGGGGTACCCTCGGAAGACGCTCTCCGCCCCCGGGCCCGTCCCCGCCCAGCCCCGGCGGCCCGCGCTCACCAGCTCTCTTCCTCCTCCTCCCAGCCTGACAGGCGCTCCAGCTCCTCGGGCCGCAGCGGCTCCACCTCGTCCAGCAAGCCGCCCTCGCCCGCTGCCAGCAAGGAGGTGGCGTCCCGCAGCTCCTCGCTACTCGTCCGCCTCGGGCCCGACCCGACCCCGCCGCCGGACTTGGCGCTGAGGCCCAAGGGGAAGCCCCGAGGGGACGCCGCGCCGGAGGAGGGAGTGGACGAGCCAGCCCGAACCGGACTGCCGGGCCCGAGGGAGCCGACGCCCTGCACGGCCCCCGAGCGGCTCCTCAGCTGTTCGTTCTGCTTCTCCAGCTTCTTCACCAGCTCCTGCAGCTTCCGCACCTCCTGGTCCGCGTTCACGTTGGAGTTAACGTCCTCCATCCCGGCCCCGCCGCCTGTGCCGCCTGCCACCCGCTCGGACTCACAGCGACAGGGAGAGGGCCAGGGCAAAGAGGCGTCGCCGCCGCCGCTCACTCTAGCCGAGGCGCCGGCATACAGCAGGGCCAGGCCCCACCGCCAGGGTCCCCCCAGCTCGGGTTCCGAAGCGCTGCTGGCCCCAGCCGAGCCGCCTCATCTGCGCCGGCTCCAGGATTGGGGGAGGCGGCGCCAATATCCGGCCTTGGCCGCCATCTTCCCTCCGTCCCTCCGCCCCCCGCAGCTCGGCCCCGTCGGTGACCTCAGAGCGTCGGGGGTGGACGCGGCCAGCGGCGGGCGCTGAGAGGACCGAGCGCTGAGCGCGCGGAGGGGCGGGGCCGTGGGCGAAACCGGTGGGCGGGTCTTAGGCCGGAAGGGGCGTGTCCGCAGCGCCGTGGAGGTGGGAAGCTGCCCCGCTGGCTGGGAAGAGCGATTCCGGCCGCAGGCGGGGCCCCCGCGGGGAGATAGGCTCGTGGAGGCCGGAGAGGAGTAAGGACTTGGCTGTGGGTAGGGCTAAGATCGCAAACTCAGATTCTCCGCCTATTGGTCTTGGATAGGGGGGCGTGTGATGTGTTCTCCACCCCCAAACACTGGCGTGTGGGACCAGCGCCTGATCCTGTCCTATCTCCTGGCTGGTTCTCTGGTGGGCGCTTAGCCGGACCCCTTGGAGAGAGTTTATTTTGTCTGTTCAGCAAATATTCATTCGATGCCTACTTGAAATAGGAGATTGTGAGGGCTGGCAGGAGCCTCAGGGACTGTCGGTGACCTGTTTCTTCCTCTGAAAATGAGAAAACAATCGCAAATGGTTGAGAAGTCTAAGGTCAAAATAATAACCAGAAGTTGTTGAGTGCTTACTATGGGCCAGCCACTATGCTAAGCATTTTTTTTGTTTTTTTTAAAGTAGGCTCCACACCCAGCGAGGAGCCCACCGGAGATCAAGACCCGAGCCCAGATCAAGAGTTGGCCGCTCAACGGACCGAGCCACCCAGGCGCTCCTGTGCTAAGCATTTTAAAGGCATCTCATCGATTAAAACAGTTTTTCTGACTTAAAGTTTACTGCACACTGGCTTGTAAGCGGGGGATAGAAAACCGCTCCTCTTACCTTTGTTAATTGATGCGTAATCTGCTCTTTGGATCGTTTTCTTGGGAAAAACTTTTTCATGGTGTGTCTTGACTTTTTAAAAAGTGTATTAAGAGAGAACTTAATAAACTTAAATATTAAAAGAACTAAAATAAGCAAAAATAAACACTGATGAATGCTGAGGGATGTATGAATGTAAAAAAATCTGCCTTCAGTGGCACCCGTTTATAATGTGTACTAACAGCAAAACAAACCAAAAACCACTTAAATGGGTTTATTTTTTAATCACATTCATTATTTTCAGATGTCAGCTGTGAACTATTTGGTTTATGTTTGCAGGTTTCCTCTAATTGCCTCCTCCACTCTTAGCTTATAATGATCCAGTCCTATTACACCTGGGTGTGGACTTTTAGCCTCTCTGTGCTGTATTTTCCTTGCCTAGAATATTCTACCTGCCAAATCTGATTCCTTTTTTTAAAACCCATGCTTGCATATCTAGGAAAACTTTTCCTGACAATTCCACAGGATTTAGCTGTTCTGTTTACTCTAGCATTACCTGGTCAATAGTTTTCAACAGGTGTTTGTATTTTAAATTTTTTTGCTTCTTTTTTGTTTTTGTCTGTTTACTTGATGAAAAGGGACCATTTATTTTGGTTTTTTTTCATGTCTAGTGTCTGACACAGCAGACATTCAATATCTGGTGTTTTGAAAGTTGAGAAGAATGTAAATTCTGACAGGTCAAGGTCTAGATGTTTATTCATAGCAAAAAAAGCATTGAGTATTTTCAAAATTTGCTGATGACTTATAAATAAGTATTTTCTTAGATATATGTATCTAATCAAAAGATGTCTTTGTTTGCTAACACAATAATTGTGAAGTAATATGTATTATCTATATAATGCACATCTGAATATCATTGCTGTCTGACACATCTGAACTAGTTGCCGGAGGGTTCAATATCACGACTGCTTCACATATAGCACTTTTCATTTGCATTTAACAGTTTGTGAAATGGATGCCAACTGGCTAGGTTCTTTAATGAGAACACTTCAAATATATTCCTTGAAAAGAATAGTTCATATGACATTATGAAGTTAAACACTAATATTTCATGGAAGCAAGAAGAGGTTGGTGTGACAAGGAGCAATGAATGGAGAATCAGAAGGCCTGGTGGCAGATTCTAGCTATAACACAAATGTGGTGCTTGACCTTAATCTCTGATCCTTAAGCAAGTCATACTGGCTGTATATTTAAAATACATCTGAATACTTCCTGGCACCTCCACTGGTACGACTGTCATTCCAATTCCCATCTTTTCTTGTTTAACTTACTGTGGTACTTTCTTAATGGGCTGTTCCACTTTGCTGCTTACAATCTGTGATGCACACAGCAACCAAATGATCCTTTGCTTAGTTGCATCAGGTCACTCCCCTGCTAGGAATCTCGACTTGCTTCTCAACATATTTAAACTACCATGTCCTTTTCTTGGCTATAAGACTGGATATTTGGCAGCTTGTACAAGTATCTTATTGACTTCCAATCACTCTTCCCCACCATCACCCCACTCCAGCCACACTGGCCTTTTTGATGTTTTTTTAAACATGCCAAACATGTTTCTACTGTAGGAACTCTGTACTTGCTATACCTTCTATCTAGGATTCATTCTTCCTCCACATTGTCACATTACTAACTCTCTCCATTCAGGTCTCAGCTCGTATCTCACCAACTGAGTTCACTATTCTCATCGTTAGGACCCTCATAAAATAGCATCCCTATCATTCCCCAAGCTCTTAGCTTGTTTCATTTTTCCTCTGACACATCATCTATTTCTTCCTTTGTTGCCTATCTCTCTCCAGTAGAATATGAACTATGTGAAAACAGGATTCACTGCAGTATCCCTGGTGCACTTACTCTACTGCAGATTTTCGATAAATGTTGAATAAATGATGGATTTAGGTCAAGTGAAGCCTCCTACCAGAGATTTTCAGATAAATGTGTTTGTTATGTCTCAAATCATTAAAGTGGAAATTCCTAATAATGTTGAATGGTTGGTTTTTTAAAATTATATATTTCTCTTCCAAAGAGCAACATGTCACACTATGTCATCCTCAAAACTAGGTCATTCTCCACTTCCTGAGTGTCAACAGCCCTTAAGAATTGCTGAGGAGAGAACGTCTCAGGTTCTCACTTAAAAGTATGAGGACAAGAATATTTCCATTCTGTCCTAAATGTTGCCTGGATCCTTCTCTTTCAGGTTAACTACAATACTGTCTTCTCTGATGACCCAAGTGTTAGAGCATGTTTTTTAAAAAGTCACTCTACAAGTGGCTCTCTCATGGAGATATGAGAAGTTAAGCTGGTAGGTGTCTGCAGTGTGCATCACAGGTATCTCAACTAGATTTTTCAGGTGTTGCCTTTTACAATAAGCTTGCTTTGTTCCTGGATGAAGGAGTGGTTCCTTTTCTTAGCAGGTGTGGCCCTTTCCACAACTTGCTCCTACTTGCATGTTGGCTCCTGCCAAAACTCCTGACGTGGAAAATATTACAAACCACTGTAAGTATTTAGAGGGAAAAACTATTACTAAATGGCCTAAAGGTATTCAGCAATCCTAAAATCCTAAATCACGATGTATATGCATGTGTGTGTGTGTGTGTGTGTGTGTGTAACTGAGCACATGCCCAAAGGTAGTTTAGAAACCTCAAGGCGGAAAAAAAAAAGGCATTAAAAGAAAGGGCGCCTGCGTGGCTCAGATGGTTGAGCATCTGCCTTCAGCTCAGGTCATGATCTTGGGGTCCTGGGATCGAGCCCCGTGTCGGGCTCCCTGCTCAGTGGGGAGTCTGTCCCTCTCCCTCTGCCCCCCACCCTGCTCGTGCTCTCTCTCAAATCAATAAAATCTTAAAAAAAAAAAAGCTATTAGAAACCTCAAGGCGCTTACAGAAATACTTGCATTTGTTTAAAAATGCTCAAATTTGTTGAAGAAACCTCTACTGTCCAACACATCCATTTTATCCTCACACACACCCACTTGGCTAGTCATTTCCCATGTGTCCTCTCTCACCTCTTCTTCACCAGAATCCTTCTCCTAGGTGTACCTCCTCAGGTCTGTCAAGGGGTCTCTTCTTCCCTGTCTTGGCATATGCAATTTTAAGAAGGAATCTCAGGAACTTCAAAGGCTAGGTGTATATGAGATTCTGAATTGAAATCCTGTGGGCAAAAAGAAGAGGGACCTAAGATTTGGACCTTAGAATTTTTCTAGTCAGCATTGATCAGATCTTACCTTTACGGGATGCCTCAAAAGTGAGCCATAATGGCAGGCATCACTTCCTTCTGGAAGGTCCTCTGGCCAGAGAGTGGCCCCCTATCACACCGTGGGGGCATGTATTATATTGATGTAGGGGTGAGGAGGTTCATGATCAGGGCAGATGTGAACATACTCTTAAACTCTTTTTTTTTTAATAACTTTTTTTTTTAAAGATTTTATTTATTCATGAGAGACAGAGAGAGAGAGAGAGAGAGAGAGGCAGAGGGAGAAGCAGGCTCCCAAGGAGCAGGGAG